ATGAAAACCCACTAGTAACCTTATTCTGACGATCTTCATTCAAACTTTGACAAGTGAGTAGATTTTACAAATGTCAAAGTTGCCGTTTTGCATATCCCCGTTAAATCCATGTGCTTATATGGATCATCAGCAGGTCAATTTGGCCGTATCGTGCATTCTTGTATCAGTTGTCAATATGGACGGGTATAAGACGGACGACACTATGAGTCAGGCGTTGGATTTGGCAGAAGAGACTGAAGATAACGCAATATTAATGTATTTTACATGTTACAGTTTTATAAAAAAACCCCCCCCCCCCCCCCCCCCCCCCCTTTTCTCAACATTAATTATAAACATTCATATTCGAACATACTGAGGGATAGGTGTGTTTGGATTAGAAACCCGACGACCGGACGCGCTTAACCTTCAAAAATACAGATTGCATACTAGTATGTAGGAACCCCCTTTTTTTGGAAATAAGCCCACTCCTAGTAAAATATGTCTGGCACTTATTTTCCTATGAAAATTTTTATATATCCGTATTCTCATTTTTTGTCAATGAAAAAGTCCCTGTTAAATTTTATTTTTAAGACATTCTTTAAATTAATTAATATTAAAATTTAGAAAGGAACAATTATAATTACGTACATCATAAAAATCTGTGATATCTATTTTCCTATGAAAACAAGTCCGTTTAACTATATAAAAAAACGAACACCCATATTTTTTTTTATATATAGTGAAATATTTTTGTCTGTTAACCAATTTTAAAACATATAACAATTAAAAAACAAATTATTTCTTTCATTACAAATTTTCCTATAAAATAAAAGGACATGAATTTTATGCATCTTATAGATGTGTTTTTACTTCAATTATAGTTTGAAGCTTCGAGATATTTGTAAACTTTTAAATTATAGACACATTTTCATAAAACAGTCGATTGTGCATAAGCAGAAATTCCGCCGAAAAAAAATCCACAGAAAGAGAATAAATTGATCTTTTTAAAGTAATAAGGATGGACACCTCAGTCTGAGGAGCCAAACATTTCTAGAATTAAACTTTTTTCTTTACCTGATTTTTTTATTTATGTTACTGTAAAAAAGTAATTGATGAAGGAAAAGATCATATAGTGGTGCACTTCTTATTTTGCTTCGGCCATTTGAATTACCCCATTTTTATGATTTCGACATTTGTCATCAATTTTTACCCATTTTTGGGCTATTATCGTGAAAAAAATCAAAGTTATAAAATTAAACTCTTGTTCATTCTTTGACTATAAAAGACTAAGTGGACCAATCTGAATAATCTTAGCTTTAAAAAACGAATTATAGATCGTGTTAATATAAGAAAGTTTATAAAATGTTGTTGCTTTTTCGTGTCAAATTGAACATGCTGTAAATTTTTAAAATTTAGGATTTTTTTTTCTCCAAAAAAGCATATTATATTAACTTCTTTGCAATGAATGATTGAAAAATACATATCTAAGAAATTGAAAAGAAAAAAATGACATGGGATGTACATATTTTTGGTAAAATCACTTCGTTGTACAATTCATCAATTTTCTCAACATTTTGGATGATTACACTGACCGGATTGCTTATTAAAATTAAAAATATATATATCTAAAAAACTACTTATTGTTAGTACACAATTTTTTCACATAGTTCAGTTTGATTGTAATATTTTTTAAAATTCATTGATATTTTCCACTTGTATCACATGTTTTGGAAAAAGAAATCCCGAAAGAGATTTCAACGTGACTGAAACATCAGAAGAATACATCCTTTATTTGCATCTCTGCTCCCGGCGACAGTTTTTTTTTTGAAAAAATCCTAAAAAGGAGCAAAAATTTCATCAAAAAAGAGAAAGTCGAGTGCACCTTTCTATGTTCAAGCGTGTTTGAGTTTACCGTTCTGTCTTGAAAACGTATAAAGCAAATATATTTGATACATGATCTCGCATCATATTCTATTAGTTTTATATTTTAGGATACAGGTTGATTTAATATCATTAAAAAATCACAGTACTAAAAAATGAAATATGTGGGTCAAGTGAAATACCTTTCCGATGAGTCATAAAAGCAGAGTAGGTGTGTTCGAATGACAAATTTTTACTAAAAGTACTTGACAACAGACTTTTCAAGTGGGTCTTTGAAATGCATGACTTCAAAAAAACTTTATTTTAAGTGCGAGTTATCTTGGGTTATTTGTCTTCAACCTTTGAACATTTTTAGTCTGCCCTTCCTCGAAATATTTAATTAGAATTTTTTAAAATGTTTTCGAACTTTCGAAAATTACACCTGACAACCGATTAGACAATAATTTTTGACGAAATGCAGTACATTAAATGATGCTCAAAAGCTAATAGAGATACACATGTCTTTTAAAATACAACTTGCATGTAAGGGTCGTTATGGCGCTATGTGGATAAATTTGTCGGTTTTCAAGAACTAAATTGGCAGCGCGTCGATCATCCCTATAATGGCTTCCATTTTTACGATTGTACAAATTGGCTGGCGTAATTGGGAGATATTTTTGACGAAGTCGAATCCTGACTGATTAAAAGATTAATGCACAACTGTTACAGAACATAAAAATATAAGAATTAAAAAATCCATTGTTAACATGTAAATGATTTCTTTAATTTCACATTTTCTGAGTAAAATAAAGGACATGGACGTTTTTACCTTGAAATATTGATGACCTGAACATGAATTCTTATGAAAATTTGTCTGGGACATAAATTACTGACATCGGACTCACGACTAAATATATTATTATACTTCACGTTAAAATGCCATATTTTGATTGGCTAATACGAGGGTGTTAATTTACTCTATCACATGGCTGAGCGGGTGACAATTTTTTTGAATGTCACCCTCTCGTCCAGACCAATCAACAATCGATAATTTAAAGGACAATGAATTGAATTTACATCAAGTTATTACAGACGATGCTTAAGTTCTACGCTTTGGCTCAGATTCTATTATTTGACTGTCAGAGTTAAAAAATAAAACATCTTGCTTCACTTCTGTTGATTTTTCTAATACCCGTAACGTTGTTATGTACGTGACGTCATAGAAAATACTTTTGAATAAAATTCATCTGTAAAGACAATAATGATAGGACATTCAGTATAATAAATTAAATAACACATAGCTGAGAGGGTGATAGAGCAGATTGGTACCCCTCGAAAAAGCATTGTCAATCTTGGCTTCGCCGCGGTTGACAATGTTTTCTCGGGGTACCAATCTGCTCTATCACCCTATGAACATTTTATAATGGTAATATTTGTCCGCCCAGACACATTTATTAGGACTAATTTATCTCTTACACTTGAACACTAAGTATTTGTTTCTTTTGTGACAACCCTGTGATGAAATATAAAAGTTCAACAAACGCTATAGAGTGAGAGACCCATATTCGCCGCATAATTCGTTCATTTCCACTTACATCCGACCTACATTCGAATATTTGGAACTTTTTATGAAGGTTTCCGAAATTTAACTAGATGAAAAAAAATGTTTGATAAAGATATTATCTTGAAAACATTGGTTAATTGTTCTAAAAACGAACGCAAACTCAAGAGGAAATCAAACGGTTACAAGTTCGTGTACCATGGGGGACACATTTTCGCCGAAATGTATGATATGACCATCCTCATTATCCTAGTATATTATAAAAACGAATGTTTGCAATTACATGAATTAGCTTGAGAGATCATTCCTATACGATTTTTCTCACAAATATTTACTTTAAGACTGCGCATGATTGCCATATAAATCTTACATAATTGCCAAAATAATTTTGAAAACACCTGCGTATTTCTCAATATGTGCGAATAACCTTGGAAATGGGGTAAAGAAGAATATCAACAGTTGTAACATTACAAACAGCCTTTATCATCTATTTAGGCAAGTATTGGGTAAAGGCACACAAATTTTACAGAAAAAATAGCAAAACGGCGAAAATGTGTCCAAGGCGAATATGCGCCACCCACTCTAACTGTTTTATCTTTATGAAACTTCTTTCTGGTGATATTTTTGGTGTTGCTGCGGACAAAATATATTCTTTCTCCTTGCCTTATAAAAAGTTCAACTATTTTTTTTTATCAGAAGTTGCACTTGGCTCATAATAGGTTATTTGAAGTATTCCCAGGGTGGAGCAACTAAATACATGCTTAATTCGATTCATTATAACTTACGGTCACAATTTACTCGGTAAATCCGACAGAAGCCCAAATAAAATTAACCGAAAACTAATAAAAAGTGGTAATGAAAGAAAAAAAAACTCAGTCTTTTCTAGTAAACAAAAGCTGGTTTAAATTTATGATATTTCGAAGCACTGGAGTCTTCTCCAATATTAATCTCGTGTTTTTGATAATTTTTGTTTTACTGTAAAAAGTAGCCTTTACAAGGACCGCAGAGACGGACTTTTAGAGGAAGACTCCGAGCGGGGGTCCGCCCCCCCCCCCCTACCCCGTTTTTGTGGGAAAAATTTGGTTGACTATATAGGGAATCACTGAAGCATGACTGGACCGGGCCCCCTCGTAGGCAGTCGGTGGACTCCCCTTATGAAAATTTCCTGATCCGCCACTGAATAAGCCAGGTTCTTCATTCTGTATTCTTCGTAGTCATTTTTTTTTAATAATTCGCTCATTATTCTTTATCTTTTAAAACTATAATTAATTGATAACTGTATTCTGGACTTTGTTCTTTTCTGTAATCAGTATATTTTTACCCAATTCTTTCATTTTTGCAGTTATTCATGTTCTTTTCTGTAATCGGTACATTTTTTATCCATTTCTTTAATTTTCCCAATTTTTCTAATTATTCAGTTTATATTTTAGCACTCCACTATTCTCTATTCTTTATTATGTTTGCCCATTTTTCTCTATTTGTTATTTTTTTTTGCCATTAAATAAATTATAAATTAATTAAATTAAGGTTAACCCCCTTCCTTTACGGTTCATTGCACCACGTGCATTCTGTTTTTTATTGGCTACTATTGGCGGGATTTTCTATTGTTCTAATTTTTCAACTCTTGCTGGTGAATCCATTTTGATGTTCTAGCTAACACGTTACACTGAACCGGTGTTCACACATTTTACATTTTTTTTGAAAATTTCATCAATAAGGTAGGTTTTATTCTTTCTTTATAAATAACATATGGTTTAGTTATGTTCGCAGTGTGAATATCAAGTTTTAAATGTTGCACAGTATCGGAATGTCAAGTTTAGTTTGGTGACTATCGAAAACTTCTTGTAATCACTTTATGAAAAATACATTTGTGAATAAAGATAAGAATAGAAGATTTCATCATTCAACATGCATCTATAACTATAACTAGCCATAATACTCTCATTTTCCAGTGGGATTCTAATTTCCCTTAGGCCAAATAAAAATATGTGTGGTTCCAGTTACCCTATCTGCCCTATCTTTTTGTCTCAATAATAGCCTACCCTAAATATTTTTTGTTGTCTAGTCTGCGACTTCTGTCGCAGAAAGCTCGACATAGGGATAGTGATCTGGCGGCGGTGTTAGCTAACATCATAAAAGCTTTATTTTAGAAGGTGGAAGACCTGAATACACCTTATCAAGAATCTGTCCCGCTTGAACTTTTGACAGCATACAACAATCACTTTTCCATTGTGGCGTCAGATATTTTCTATTATGACGTCAAAATTTTACAGGAACTTTTGTGATGTCCAGTAATGCGGACAAATAGCGATAAGGTGTATGCTTCATACTTTGTATATAGATGCCTTATGTTACAAAGATTCCGTCTGTCATATGTCCATTGTCCTTGACCTCATTTTCATGGTTCAGTGACTACTTAAAAAAAGTTCAGAGTTTTTGTAATGTTAATTTCTTTCCTATTATGAGTAATAAGATAACTATATTTAGTATGTGCGTACCTTGCAAGGCCCTCATGTCCGTCGGACAGTTTTCATTTGACCTCGACCTGATTTCATGGATCAGTGGACAAGGTTAAGTTTTCATGGTCAAGTCCATGTATTATATACTATAATCAATAGGTCTACTATATTTGGTGTATGGAATGATTGTAAAGTGTACATGTCCAACTGGCAGGTGTCATCTGACCTTGACCTCATTTTCATGGTTCAGTGGTCAAAGTTAAGTTTTTGAGTTTTGGTCTTTTTTTCTAATATTATATGCAATAGGTCAACTATATTTGGTGTATGGAAATATTTTATGATGTAGATATCAGTCTTGCAGGTTTTATTTGACCTTAACCTCATTTTCATGGTTCATTGCTATTAAAGTGTTAAGTTTTTGTGTTTTGGTCTGTTTTTCTTAAACTATTAGCAATTGGTCAACTATATTTGTTGTATAGAAGAATTGTAAGCTGTATATGTCTGTCTGGCAGGTATCATCTGACCTTGACCTCATTTTGGTGGTTCATTGGTCAATGTTAAGTTTTCATGGTTAAGTTTGTTTCTTAGAGATACTATAAGCAATAGGTCAACTATATTTAGTGTATTGAATGATTATTAGGTGTACATGTATTTCTCGTTTGGTTTATCTGACCTTGACCTCATTTACTTGGATCGTGATACTTGTAGTAAAGCTTTATAATTAGGACTATCAAATCAGTGATTAGTAAAGAAGGCGAGACATTTCAGCCTGTGCACTCTTGTTTTTCATTAAGCACCGTGAAAGTCAGAATGTTGCTCCCATAGGCCTGAGGTAAAAAAAAAAAACAACATAAAAATAAAAAAAAATCCCTACCTATCTACCCTTACTTATTTTTAGATGTAAATGGAACCACACATACTATTTTATTTGGCCTTTCCGAACATCCAGAGATCATTTACAGGACTTACTTTTTGTATTTGTTATAAATTTGGTCTTGTCCTGAAAATGCATGAAATATTTGCCACTGGACGTAAAGCAAAAAATGTACCCTTTGGCTTAGAATTTTAAGTATAATAAATGGCTATTGTTTTGACCTAAACATTTACTTTTGACTACTGTCAAAGCTGTGTATCTGGACAAGTTTTGACAAAGCATGGACTAGATAATTGAAATTCGAATACATTTTATGTTTTAGAAAAATTGAATCTTAAGTTAAAAAATTCATGAAAACAATGGTGATAGTCTTTTTTTTTTTCTAAATGCCTTCACATAATTAGCTGATGTTAAGTATGTGAGTCTACAATGATGATGGTTATACAGTCTTTTTAGCTTACCTGGCCAAAATAGAGGAATTTTGACATGGGGGGAGGGGGCCAAAAATGTTCAGAATATTGAGCTCTACCAATTGTTCCATGTCAAAACTGTCAGGTGAATTCTTACAGAAGTTATTGCCCTTTAATGAATATTTTTTTATCATTTCCTTTGATGACAATTTTGACCATTTTTTTTGCAATTTTGCTGTATATCTTTAACATTATAATAAATAGATAGAAACTTAAATAAGCAAAGGTGATTGGAAAAATAAGCAAAGGTGATCGGAAAGACAAGATCTTCATTTAATACAATATGAGGAATTTTTCTGACATTTTCTTATTGGAGTTATTGCCTTTTAATGACAATTTTTTTTCTCAGTTTTTTGTCGAGCCTGCGACTTTTGTCGTAGAAAGCTCGACATAGGGATAGTGATCCGGCGGCGGCGGCTACAGCAGCGGCTTTAGCTAACTTCTTAAAAGCTTTATATTTTAGAAGGTGGAAGATCTGGATGCTTCATACTTTGTATATGGATGCCTCATGTTACGAAGTTTCCGTCAGTCACATGTCCAATGTCCTTGACCTCATTTTCATGGTTCAGTGACTACTTGAAAAAAGTTATGATTTTTTGTAATGTTAAATTCTCTCTTATTATGAGTAATAGGATAACTATATTTGGTATGTGCGTACCTTGCAAGGTCCTCATGCCCGTCAGACAGTTTTTACTTGACCTCGACCTCATTTCATGGATCAGTGAACAAGGTTAAGTTTTGGTGGTCAAGTCCATATATCTCAGATACTATAAGCAATAGGTCTAGTATATTCGGTGTATGGAAGGACTGTAAGGTGTACATGTCCAACTGGCAGGTGTCATCTGACCTTGACCTCATTTTCATGGTTCAGTGGTTATAGTTAAGTTTTTGTGTTTTGGTCTGTTTTTCTTATACTGTATGCAATAGGTCTACTATATTTGGTGTATGGAATGATTGTAAGGTGTACATGTCTAGCTGGCAGGTGTCATCTGACCTTGACCTCATTTTCATGGTTCAGTGGTTATAGTTAAGTTTTAGTGTTTTGGTCTGTTTTTCTTATACTGTATGCAATAGGTCTACTATATTTGGTGTATGGAATGATTGTAAGGTGTACATGTCTAGCTTGCATGTGTCATCTGACCTTGACCTCATTTTCATGGTTCAGTGGTCAAAGTTAAGTTTTTGAGTTTTGGTCTTTTTTTCTAATACTGTATGCAATAGTTCAACTATATTTGGTGTATGGAAATATTTTATGATAAAATTGAGAATGGAAATGGGGAATGTGTCAAAGAGACAACAACCCGACCATAGAACAGACAACAGCAGAAGGTCACCAACAGGTCTTCAATGCAGCGAGAAATTCCCGCACCCGGAGGCGTCCCTCAGCCAGCCCCTAAACAAATATATATACTAGTTCTGTGATAATGAACGCCATACTAAACTCCAAATTGTACACAAGAAACTAAAATTAAAAATAATACAAGACTAACAAAGGCCAGAGGCTCCTGACTTGGGACAGGCGCAAAAATGCGGCGGGGTTGAACATGTTTATGAGATCTCAACCCTCCCCCTATACCTCCAGCCAATGTAGAAAAGTAAATGCATAACAATACGCACATTAAAATTGATCTATATGTCAGTCATGCAGGTTTTATTTGACCTTGACCTCATTTTCAAGGTTCATTGCTCAGTGTTAAGTTTTTGTGTTTTGGTCTGTTTTTCTTAAACTATAAGCAATAGGTCAACTATATTTGTTGTATGGAAGAATTGTTAGCTGTACATGCCTGTCTAGCATGGTTCATCTGACCTTGACCTCATTTTCATGGTTCATTGGTCAATGTTTAGTTTACTTGGTTAATGTTAAGTTTATGTGACAGTTGTAATAAAGCTTTATATTTAGGACTATCAACATAATATCAATGATTAGTAAAGAAGGCGAGACATTTCAGCGTGTGCACTCTTGTTTGTATTTGCCTTATATGATTAATTAAATTATAATAGATAAATAGGGACTATAATGAATAACAAAAATAATCAGCCAGGCAAGGTCCACAAACAAGTCAAATTTTGTCGATATAGTGAGTCGACTGTCACTTTTCATAGGAATGATTGCTCTGAAATGAGGATTTTTTAACCCTCTTGTGTGTTTTGAGCAAAAACTGAAGAAGACAGAGGGAAACTTAACAGACAAAATGATCAGCTATACAAGATCAATTTTTATGTCATGAATTTTATTCTTGTCTACAATGTTTTATAGAGTCTATTGTTGATTATGCATTTAGACCTAGATGAGCGACACAGGCTCTTTAAAACCTCTAGTTTCCAAACGCCTTCACATATTTAGCTGATGTTTAGTATGTGAGTCTACAGTGAAGAGTTACAGAATTTACATTAAATTCTGCACCACTGATTTGTGCAGAAATTATGTGCTGTTTGGACTTCGAATATTTCATGAAAATAGCTGTTAATCAGACACTTTTTTTGTTTTTTAAATGCCTTCACATAATGAGCTGATTTTCAGTTCTACTATGGTGAGTTACAGATCGTGTAAATGTTTGTTTCCACTCGGCTGAATTTTAGTATGTGAGTTTATTATGAGTTACAGATCATGTTAATGTTTGTTTCCACTCTGCTGATTTTTAGTATGTGAGTTTATTATGAGTTACAGATCATGTTAATGTTTGTTTCCACTCTTTGTCTATGTTATAATTAGTCTATGAAAAGGTATATACTATCCAATTTAGCACATATTAACAACTGGAGTAATCTTTTAATTGCTCTATTGATACTTTATTTTGGCTGACTACTTGTATCACAGGTGTTGTAAAACGGAGCTCATTGACAAAGTTTTTGTAAATCTACTCACTAGTATCATTGTAAATTATGTGATTTTAAAAGGCCCTTGACTCCAGAAT